TCCAATTTGTCTTTCTGTTGAAGGTCTTCGAGTGTCGCGACTATTTTCAAACTCTCGTCGTAGATCTCCTTCGATGGTTTTTGGTCTTCTTCGTCACCAATGACATTGACTTCCTCTTTCATATAGTCAATCAACGTCTTTAAGTTCTCTACTAGTTCTTTCTTTTGAAGTAAAATGTTACTCATTTCTGTCGGCTCGATGTCAGGATCATTGCAATCTCGCATTGTGTTAATTATCTCGTTCGTACACTTTTGAGTTAGGCTCTTGCACAGTGGCGCGTTATCGGTATGGAAAACGGCTTGAAATGAGAATGAAAAATCCATGTGATTTTTAAGATTGTCGACTGGGGTACTTATGCTTTCCCCATTCTATTTCTGGACTTGGTCTGGTCTGGTTTGTTTTATTTTTCTTTTGCTCTCTTTGTCTCTTTTCTAATTTATTTTAATTATTCTTTTACTATCTGTTTGCTGAAAAAACAGCTTCTATATTCTATTCTTTCTCCCAAAAGTGCAGTTTGTATTTATATCAAGTAGTTTTTCTTTCCGGTATTGCATTTTTGAGAGAAAAAGTTATTCTTCCATTATCTATATATTTATAGAAATAAGTAGTTTATTTGTTTCTATTTGTATTTTTTACCAAAAACGAAAGATGTTAATGGTTTTTTCATATTTACCAATTACTTAAAATGCCTGTTTTTACATGATTTCCACGACAAAATTGTTTTAAACTATTCAATAAAATAACATCAGAACAAATCCTAAACATGAGTAACCAAACTAAAGTCCTTAACTATAACTTATAATAAAACTACCTATAAAGTAGAGTTGTAGTTTTCATTATGAAGAGTGTTAACGTGAGAGGGCGTATCCACACGGATATGGTGAATCCCTGCGGATTGGATTATTTTGTGTGGATAGCCTCTTATTTTTTTGTCGAAAAAAAACAAATATTCGTTTGAAACCATATGTTATAATTTTTAAAATTAATAATTGTTAATTATAATCATTTATGGGACGAAAATCATATACAAACATGAATACCCCCATAAGGAGTATTTCCATTATTTGCAATAATTTCATAGTAAGAAAAAACGCTATTTTCAGCCTTTTTTGGAGTGGTAAAATAAGAATAGATCAAGATGAACAAATAAAATAACTAACAAAATTTACGTGTATTATCCCGTTTATTTGATACATGTAACACTATTTTTGTCGTTTTTTTAATTGAAAAAACATTTCAAAAGTGATTTATGTGATTATAATTTGGGAAAATTCCCGTTTTTTGCATTAAAAAATATTTAATTTAAATATCAATTAACAATTATATTATTTTTTCGTTAATCGTGGCTCAAAAATGCATTAATGATCACTTTTTACTAATAGTATTGTAATTTATATAAACACTCCACTAGTTTATTATTTTAATAATAATATTTGGGAATTGAAATTTGTTAAATAAAGTTCTTTTAGTTGGCGCAAATTATACGTATAAAGAAGGGTTTTACATCCTAAATAATGTTCTGGTTTTGTTGAAAATGTTAAAGATTGAGGTTTTATGTCTAAACTAAACTATTAATTAATAACAATAAATTATTAGACAATAGTATATTATTAATCAACATAAAAATGACAGAATAATCACAAAACAAATTCTATTTGTATAGTTAAATAAAATTTAATTTTTACTATAAAAAGGTTAAACAGTTAAATGGCAAATTACCACATTGTAACCATAAGTTATTATTTATGTTATTAAAAAATCATAACAATACTAGTTAATTAGAATAGAAACATACGGCAAATACCAACAAAAACCATCAAAAAATACAAGGCATGTTACTCATTACATCTAACATGTAATAATAACAATTGTCTATCTATATTTACCATCCACACCTTTTCAACCTATCCACAGTTAACTATGCCATAGTATTTTATGACAAATTATATGTTATTTTATAAATTATTCAATTTTAATATTTTTTTGATTGAATATAATTTATACAATTAGTTAAATAAACTAAAGTTAATTAATAAAAAACTTTAGTGTTATTTTTATTTTAACAAAAATGTTTTTTTTGCGGCAAATTCAATTAAACAGTAAAAGTAAAAAATGACTTTTACTAAAAATAAAATTTGTTTTTTTGTTTTAACTTTCAAAAAATTCGCTTTTTTATGAATTCGGTCCAAAAAACCCATTTTTTTGTAAACTCTTAGGCAAATTTAATCGCAATTACAACAAAAACATGTAAGATTTCCAAAGCCATCCACATAAAAGTGGTCTATCACGTTAACACTCTTGATTTACTGTTACTTTCAACAATTACAGAAATATCTCCTTTTAAAAGTTTAAAAACGTATTTTATTAGAACATTAATAGTTTGACATATTTTTAATTATTTTTTATAATTAAATAATAATTAACTAATAATTAAATATTAATTAACAATTAATTAAAGATCAACTAAAAATTAATTAATAATTAACTAATAAGTAGTAGTATATGAACTAATTCATATTATAATAAATATAATCAATAGTCTGACGTCACAAGAAGACCCATCTTGACTAACGTGTTTGTTTCATCCACCGCAAGCCTATGTGTCACATGGAATTCGCACCCGTCCAAGTAATCGGTCATATCAAGAGCAACACCTGCTGTTGGATTAGAAGCGGACCCCACTCCTAGTGCGATCAATGTTTCGTGGATGCTCATTCGGATCTTTGTGTTGGTTCTTTTCTCGAATTTAGTGTTGAGTCCGAGGATCGAGTCGATAACAGTTGGCGACAACAACTTAATATTCTCCGGGATCTCCGCGACGTACTTCAGTGCGTTCATAACAACGGCACTTGATGCAGTCATCAAATTTCCTTCTCTTCCAATGATGACAGACCCGTCGTGTAAGACGACACAAGCCACCGTTCTCTTAATCCGTTCGGCTTCTTTCCGTGCTTCCACAACAACAATACGTGACTCCTCATTCATGTTCATATCTTTCATGATACTATTCAGGCGGAGGACTTCTTCTTTCTTCGACAACCCCATCTTCTCATCCAACACCGCCAACATGTACCGTCGAACAATTTCATTCTTTGCAGCTTGTTGGACCAAATCGTCATTCAATATCGCAAATCCAATGCGATTCACTCCCATTTCCGTCGGCGAATTGTATACAGTCTTGTGATATATCAATTCAAGTAACACTTTTAAGAGCGCGTATGTCTCCATGTCGCGATTGTAACTCACCGCAACTTTCCCAGTAGTCTCAAGGTAATAGTGATCGATCATATTCATATCACGCAAGTCGGCTGTCGCAGCTTCATACGCGACATTGACTGGATGTTTCAGTGGGAGATTCCAGACGGGAAATGATTCGAATTTGGCATAGCCTGCTTGGATGTTATTCTTCTTCAGTTCGTGATATAACTGACTTAAACAAGTCGCCATTTTGCCACTGTTCGGTCCTGGAGCAGTCACAACTATCACGGGCTTTGTGGTGATGACAAAGTCATTCTTACCAAAGCCTTCTTCTGAGACGACACGGGGGAAATCAGTTGGATAGCCTTCGATGATGTGGTGGATGTATGTCTTGATATTACTATTCTTACACCGTCGAATGAATTGTAACACACTTTTGGCTTCGATGTATTGCGTTATAACGACACCAACTACAGATAAGCCCTGAGCTTGCAATTCGTCGATCTCTAAAAAAAGCTCCTCTTCGTAAAAGAGCTGAACATCGTGGCGACGTTTCGAGCCAATGTCAGAAGCATTGATGCACATAATGACTTCACAATTGTCTTTAATCTGCTTGAGAACTTCGACTTTGACGTTGTACTGATACCCGGGAAGTACACGGACGGCGTGTGAGTCGTTCAGAAGTTTGCCACCGAATTCTATATATAACTTGTTGTTGAACATTTTGGCTCGCTCTAAGATTGTCTCCTTTTGTAAGTGAAGGTACTTCTCAGTGTCAAATCCGATTGGTTTCATGAAGCGTTTTTGGGCTGTTTCCATGTAATGTATAGAGAGAGTTGTAATTGAAGGGTTTATACATTCGATGTAAAAATACAATAAGGGTTAGTGGGGTGAGTGGTATTTTTTTCGCATTTTTGTTTTCACTCCAAAAGTGTTTTTTTCCTTGTGTGTTCTTTGTTATTTTGCTATTTGACATCAATTTAACAATTGTTTGCATTGTTAATCTCTTTGTATTAAAATGCTTTCAAATAAACAATATCATATTAATTTAAGAGTGTCCAACCATTTACATGGAGCTTTTAATTGATTTTCTTTTAATTTAAGATAGTATATCCTTGTATTAGTAATCAGTCTTTATATCAAAACTTTAATTGTCATGAGAGCAATCAATGATTATCATCAAATATTATTTATTTATTGTTGTTTTACATAATTGATATAATAATCATGTTTTTTCTTCTTGATTATAAAAATCTTTTTTTAAAATTTTGTGTATAACATTTTAATGGTTTATTTTACTTTATTTGATAATACAATTATTCTAAATATATATTTAAAACAATATTTTTAATTAAATCCATTATTATTACATATTATTAATTATAATTTTTTAATAATAAAAACAATCATTATTAAAAGTAAAAAAAAAACATGAATTATCAAATGGAAAAAAATGTATTATATTAATTTTTATACATATAGTACTGAAACTGTTGATTATCCCCAAAACAATTTTTAAATCCTTCAAAAAATACAATAAAAATGTATTACTTATTAATAGTAAAGTTATCAATTATAATAGAACAGTTATACAAATTAAAAAAATCTTTGTGTTACCAAGATTTAAAATGTTACACGAACCAATTGTTATCCACAGTTTTTGATCGATACAATGGGATAATTTGGTAGAATCAAAATACTCAATGCAAATGGAAACGACTCATATCCGAAAAGAATGGAGTGCTCGATAACATCCAATTAAAAAAACAGAAAAATTGGAATTTAAATCGAAACACTTAAAACGTGAAAAGAAAAGAAGTATCGACTGGAGTTTTAAAAAACAATAATTGTCCAATCAAAATGGCACTTTCAAAAATATTCACTGAATTGGATTTTTCATTGCGTCAATTTAAGTGCGAACTGTGACACAATTCTCAATGACAGAAACTGATCGCTTACTTTCAGAACAAAACCAAGACATCTTTGTTGAAGAAAAGGCTCCTGAACTTCATGAACAAACACCAAGCAAGGCTTCTATAATTAAGTTGATAAAGTATGGGGGGTTGAAAAACTCAATTTTACTTATTTTCGGACTTTTTGGATCGCTTGGAGTCGGCGTATTAATGCCACTTCAAATGTATGTTATATCTAAAGTTATTGACACCTTTGTCTTTCCTACAGACCCCGCGTCTTCCAGCTTTGATCCAACCGCTTTCAATCAAGCTATTTTAGACAACTGGATGTCTAGTGTTAACAATATTTGTCTTCAAATGGTATACTTTGGTTTGGCAAATGGAGTTTGTGCTTTCTTGATGACAGGATGTCTCTTTTTATATTCGAATTTCTATGGAATGAAGATACGATCAATGTACCTTGCTGCGTTACTCAGACAAGACATGGCTTGGTACGACGAACACCAAAGTGGGGAGTTGACATCTAAAGTGTCAATTGATGTACAACAGATTCAAGATGCTGTGTCGAATAAACTTGGATACTTAGTACAAACAATGAGTTGGACAATCACTGCGCTATGTCTTGGCTTTATATATTCATGGGATGTGTCGTTGGTCATCTTATCCTTTGTCCCAATCACTTTTATCTCATCTATGTTCATAGGAGGATCCGTTGGAGTGCTTACAAAATTCTCAAAAGAACCAACTGAAGCGGCTAACACCATATCTGAACAATGTATTGGAAATATAAGAACTGTACACTCTTTGAATCAACAAAATATCTTTATCAATAAGTACATTGAATTTAACAACAAAAACACAAAATTGTTTAAAATAATGGGAATTTGCATAGGGTCAGGCGTTGGAATGATTAATTTGGTCACAATCGCTAGCTTTTCACTTGGGTTTGTTTCATTTCGATTTATATAATTGTGTACTGCTCAACACATTTCATCAAATAATATAAAAAATAACACACAGCATGTGGTACGGAAGTAGAGCGGTTCGTGGACTTGGTGGTAATAAAGATGGGATTTCCCCTGGTACATTTTTCTTAGTCTTTATGTCAATTAGTTCAGTTGGAGAGCAACTGTCTAATATTGGTATTCCACTCAGTGTATTGGCTACTGGAAGAACTGCGGCTGGAAAGGTATTTGGAATAATAGAAAGAATCCCATTGATAAATTCATTCTCGAAAGACGGGGAGTATAAGAGTATTGAAGGGGAGGTTCGGCTGAGCGGTGTGACATTCAAATACCCGAGCAGACCGGAACAAAAAGTGTTGAATGATTTTGAAGCGACATTTGAGAAAGGAAAAACAACAGCAATTGTAGGCGCATCAGGTTGTGGCAAATCAACAATTGCTCAACTCATTGAACGATTTTACGATGTCAATGAAGGCGCTGTTCTTGTTGATGGCACTGATGTCAAAAATATCAACATCACGACACTCAGAAATGCTATCGGGTTCGTCGGACAGGAACCCGTTCTCTTCGCTGAATCTATCTTGGATAACATTAGTTACGGAGCTGTCAACCAAAATGAGGTGACACTGGACCAAATTATTGAAGCCTCCAAGAAAGCGAATGCGGACGATTTCATCAAAGTACTTCCAGATGGGTATGACACAAAAGTCGGAGACAAAGGCAGCAAACTGTCGGGCGGGCAGAAGCAGCGCATTGCTATTGCACGCGCACTCATCAGAAATCCAAAGATATTGATACTTGACGAAGCAACAAGTGCACTCGACACCGCATCAGAAGAAATAGTCCAAGATGCACTCGACAAAGCATCTGTTGGAAGAACTACAATTGTCATTGCACACAGACTGTCAACTGTCAGAAACGCATCAAAAATCATCGTCGTGAAAGATGGGAAGGTCGCAGAACAAGGCACACACGACGAGCTGATTGCTCTCAACTCACTCTACGCAGCTATGGTAAAACAACAGCAGATGGTCTCTTCTTCTGACAATTCACCGAACATCACCACAACCATTTCTCCTTCTGTTTCTTCCCCATCCCCTTCGATCCTTCATGACTCGAATCTCTCTGAAACTCCATTGATAACCACAAGAAAAGAGCCCAGTCAGTTTTCAACTACACTTCGTGTGATGATTGGGAATGCACGCACTGAGTACATTAGCCATATATTAGGTTTAATAGGGTCGTTTTTGATGGGGATCATATGGCCTTTATATGCAGTGATCTCTGTTGATTATATTGTTGTACTTTTAAGTCTGCACCCTGGAGTGGATTTAACTGAAGAACAAGCGACTCAAATTCGCAATAAAAGTTTGATAATAGGTGGCATTGGTGTTGGAGCATTCATTACATTCTTGTTGTATGTTGGTGTATTTGAATATAGTAGTGCTGGGATGATTGGTCGTATGAGAAACATGATGTTCACTTCATTAATGAGAAAGGATGTTTCGTGGTATGATGAAAAGAACCACATGACTGGGAAGTTAACTGCACAACTCCAATTTGAGCCCCAAGCCCTCTCTGGTATCTCTGGTGGACGATTTGGAAATGTTTTGATGGTCATATCAACTGTTATTTGTTCATTATGTATTGCTTTTTACTTCTTTTGGAAGTTAGCACTTTGTATTGTAGTGCTCATCCCTATCTTTGGCGTTCTTCTATTCTTCGATGGTAAATTGAATTCTGCAAATGCTGTTCCATTGGTTGATGCGTTTGAAGAAGCAAATGGCATGTTAGTTGAAGCCACAGAATCAGTTAAAACAGTGCAAAGTCTAAATGCCGAACACACATTCATTTCTATGTTCACTAAAACATTACATGCACCTAAGAAAATGCTATTAAAAAACGCGCCAATATTATCTGGAATTAATGGAACAGTTAATTTCTTGAACTTTGGGGTGTGTGCTATAGGCTGGTATCTTGCCGCAGTCTTTTTAAATCAGGACATGGACATTAACGTTCCAACATCAGACTTTTTAATCACTTTCAATGAAGCATTTGGGAATGTCCAGAAAGCAACGCTCTCAATAATTTTCACTGCAATTACAATTGGAATGGTGGGGATGTACACTCCAGATATCAGTAAAGGCGTTCAAGCGGCAAAGAAAATATATAGTATTATTGACAATGTCCCAATTATAGAAAATGAAACAAAAGGGGAGTATAAGAGTATTGAAGGGGAGGTGCGGCTGAGCGGTGTGACATTTAAATACCCGAGCAGA